AGGAAGGAAGGAAGGAAGGAAGGAAGGAAGGAAGGAAGGAAGGAAGGAAGGAAGGAAGGAGAGGGACAGGAGGTAGGAAGGAAGGAAAAAAGTGGAGAAAGAGAAAGAGTAGGGAAAGGGGAAGATAAAATGAAAAGCCGTCAAGGTTTGTGTAGTCAAAGGCATTGAAATCTTCAGAGCTCAACAAGACTGACACAAGTCAAAGTACTAGAGACCAGTTAGACACTAAACTGAGCTGAACTTCCAAGAAGAGTAGTGTAAGCTGGAGCAGCAGATATTGTATGTGTTGAAAAAGATGTGAGAGGGACAGAAGCAAGGTCTTTGAGTCAAAGGAGAATTTCACAGAAAGGAAAAGGAATATCTTTCAATAGGAAGAAGTTTGAGCCAGGGGTCAGTGGAAATCTTGTTGGATGAAGGAGGCAGGAAAGAGCTGGCCTTGGCTCAATGATATGGTAAAAAATATATATACACTGTTCAGACAACTGTATCCAGAAATGTGGATCTTGAAAGAAGGTGAGTTGAGAAAATGCCTTCAGTGGAAGTATGATGTCAACAGGCAGAGGAAAGTCTGTTCGCCAACATGGCTAGAAGTAATGAAGACAGAGCTAAGATACTGGTGGCTGCTAAAAAAGACAAAGGAGTACTGCTCCCAGGTCCCTGCCCACTTTTCTTCCTGGCATCTTGCATGAACCCTGCCAGGGAAGATCTTTCTGCACAGCATGTTCTGATCACCCCCTCGCATATGTACTGAGCTGGTGTGAACATCAGCATATTGGCTGAGATCCCTTGGCTCAGTCCCCAGTGTTGAGGGTAACAATGCAAGCAGAAAGAAATAGAGAAGCCAGGAGTTGCCTGTACCTGGGATGCCTTTGCATAAAGCCTAGGATGGTTTCCCTCTCTCCTGTTGTTTACAGAATTGGTGTGTTTCATGCTACTGCACTCCTTGCTCAAAGGTGTAGGAGATCATAGTCCATTTGCACGCCAGTCTCCACATAAGAGGATTCCACTTTTCAGTCTGCTCTGGTCTTGAAGTATTCCAACCAGAGAGTGCACAGGGGTGATGTAGCAAGCAGAGCCTCACACCTTCCTCCTTTCTGGGAATGATACCATAATTCCCCCCAGCATGCGCCTGTTGACTTCTTTTTGTGGCTCCTCTCTTCTCATCTACCAAACAACAAAGCCTGCTTTCCTGGGTCTTCATTCCTCTCTGTTTCCCATTTTGGCTGCCAACCCTCATCAGGTCATATGTCCCCTCTCTTGTGTTATTCCCAATCTGTGCCCTCCAAGCCCAGCCCACCCTGCATGGTGCCCCAGTAATCACTCAGGTTATTACCTCTTCACCTTATTTTCCATTCCTTCATCCACCTTTTCTTCAGGTATGGAAAGGAATAACATTCCATTCTTTCCTATGATTTTGGAATCTCAAGGCTGTATCTCTGGGGAAGAGGGGGAAGCATGAAGGATGTGATGAACACTTTGGTCTACACTCTTTCCTCTAGCAGCTTAGAGTTGACTGAGGGGTCTTCTGAGAAGGGAATTAAAGTAAGATACAGTGGTTATGTGGCTCACAGGCGATTGTCAGGTGTGAAGCATGAAGATTCCCAGGTAGGAGCTCTGGAAAGAGGAATAAATTATAGATAAAGTGTGGGTTGGGGTGGCAGTAGAGTTAGGTATAGACTCAGTTCTTCTATAGTACATAATGCAAGGCAGTACAAAGTCAGGTTTCTCTGAACCTAAGAGATAGGTTTGCCTACCACTATTAGGGATTGATAGCATTTTTCCACAGACGTAGATGATTTTATTGTGCTATTTAGTTGCAACAAGTTTACAGTTTCCTTAGATTACCCAGTGACATACTTGGAGCAATAATCTGCATCCAAACCTCAGAGTTGAGTCTGCCACTCAAGAAGTTCTGTGGTAGGTGGTCAGTGATAGCTAAGACAACACCTGTCCCCAGGCTATAGACAACAGGACTGTAGCAAGAGGGACACTGTCTCAGCAGCATTTCCTGTGTCCTAGCACAGACAGCCAGGAAACCAGAATGTGGACTCTAGTTAAAGATGAATCAGAAAGTACAGGCCTGGACACTCCTCTCTCTTCAAGACTTCACTAACACAGTACACCCCTTCTGTTTTCTTGCAGAGAAGCCCCGGATGAACAACATCCTGACATCAGCCACCGAGCCCTACGACCTATCCTTCTCCCGCTCTTTCCAGAACTTGGCACACCTGCCCCCATCCTATGAGTCTGCAGTGAAGACCAACCCTAGCAAGTACTCATCTCTGAAGAGGCTAAGTAAGCCAGGTTCATCCCGGGGTTGAGGTCTGTCCCTGATGTCTCCAGGGAATCTTCCTCTGTCTGTTTCTTGTTCTTGGCCTATTCCAAAAAGAATGAATGGTTCTATTCCAAGAACAAAGAGTGAGTTGTTTGTGGGAAGAAGAGTATATACAAATCCTTGCTTCTGTTCTTTGGAGTCTGAGTCTATTGTTCCTATAAACAAAACAGAGATCACAGATTCTTAGATCTGCATTTCTACAGGAGGCAGCATTTCAACTTTTGCACTAGTTCAACTGAAAGGGAAAGCCTTCCTCCACCCCACATATTTGGCCTCCTGCTTTCTACATACCATGGGCTTTCATTGCTCTGTGTCTCATTTTAGAACAGTGGTTACCAATGTCCAGAACTTTTTTGGAGACCCATAAGTCAACTCTTTCTCTATCTCAGCCAACACCATCTTGAAAACCTGAGACTCCCAATCTCTCATGCATGTACTCCATTCCATTAGGAATTCCTGCTCTTTCTTTTGAGTTTTAGGGAGTCTGTGGATGTTGATGGGTTTAAGACATTAGAATGTCAAGAAAACATATTGAGAGACAACTCTTCTTTCTTGGAATTCTGACTTTTGGTCCTTCTTCCTGAATTTCTCATGAGTCTCTTTTGATGACCACTAACTCTATGAAAGCCCCAGCCTGCAAGGTAATGCATGGTAATAGAAGATCAGTCCAAGTTCACCTCATCTATCCCATGGTAGAACACTGACCTTCCATGGGAGGAAGTGGGCATCTCTGATTACCTAAGAAATCTGCTTTGGTCCCCTGAGAAGAGAAAATGTGGCTCAGCAGCCAGAATACACCCATCAGTAATCCCTCTGTACCAGTTTAGAAGGAAGTAATGTTTTTGAGCTTATGCAAATCTTGAGAACTATCTGGAAGAGTCCTCATTGCTGATATTTGGGGAAATGCAAGATGTGTGTATACTGTGTCAGTTTGGAGGGCAGTGTGAGCTTGAGAGTGGCTACTAAATGGAGAGGAGAATGGAGCATCTGAATGAGGTTCACGTATCAGATGGTTCCAGCCTTCTGTGCTGTAGGCACAGGCACAGGACGTGTAGGCTGATTACATGGTTGCATGGAGGCTAGACGCCCATGCATTAGCTTCCTGCACACTGGTAGCCACTCCAGAGAAGGTGTTACTATGTTCCTAAGTTACCAGGCATACTTTCTCACAAATGCCTCTTAGATACTAGATCTTGCTTTATTCCTACAGGAGGCTGGCTCTGTGATTCAGCTTCTGTAAAGAGAGGATCCAGAGCTTATTCAGAAACTTCACATGCCACTGGGTGTTCCATCAAGACAGAATGCCACTAGATAATCAGGGCCACAGTGCGGGACATATAGTGCAGGAGGAGGAGAAGCCCAAGGAGTTGAGATTGCCCGCATCTACCATGAGCTCTCTGGGGATCTTGAAGAGATTCCTTTACCTCTCACTGCTCAAAGAGGTCCTTGGACCAGGAGCAGCACTGGGACTGTGTTAGAGATGCAGTCCCTTGGACACACCTGGGGCCTTGGATCAGAATCTGCAATTCACAAGCTCCCAGGGACTGGTTTGTATATTCAGTGGAGCAGTACCACCTTCACCTGAGCCTCCATGTCCTCATCCGTAAACAAAAAGGGTTTGTGTTGTCCTTGAAGATGTACAGGTGGGGGACTCGGCAGTAGGGATGCGGGGTCTCCCCAAGCCCTGCCCCTGGCCTCACTCTGTTTCCTCCTCTGTCTTCTCCCTCTGCAGCCGACAAGGAGGCTGACGAGTACTACATGAGGCGGAGGCACCTGCCGGACCTGGCGGCCCGCGGCACCCTCCCGCTCAACGTCATTCAGATGTCGCAGCAAAAGCCGCTGCCCCGGGAAAGACCACGCCGGCCCATCCGGGCCATGTCGCAGGACAGGGTCTTGTCCCCAGAGCGGGGCCTGCCGGATGAGTTTGGCATGCCCTATGACCGCATCCTGTCCGATGAGCAGCTGCTTTCCACGGAGCGCCTGCATTCCCAGGACCCGCTACTGTCCCCGGAGCGGACGGCCTTCCCTGAGCAGTCCCTGTCGCGGGCCATCTCCCACACGGACGTATTTGTGTCCACGCCCGTGCTGGACCGCTACCGCATGACCAAGATGCACTCCCATCCCAGTGCCTCCAATAACTCCTACGCCACCCTGGGCAAGAGCCAGACAGCAGCCAAGCGCCACGCTTTTGCCTCGCGCAGACACAACACGGTGGAGCAGCTGCACTATATCCCCGGCCACCACACCTGCTACACAGCCAGCAAGACTGAAGTGACCGTGTGACCGGCAGAGCCCTGCTGGGTGCTTGGCAGGGTGGGGCGGGGCGAAACAGAGCAGGAGTCAGGAGCAGAAGGGCCAGCCTTCTGCTTGTCCCTTTTTCTTTCCAGGTCTCCTCTATTGGAGGAAGGGGTGGGCCACCTTGTCCCCAAAGCCATACCCCTGCTCCGATGGCCTGGTCCAACACACTCAGACCCAGGACCTAAAGCATCTGCTTTTACTCTTCCAAAAGAATCAATTGGGAGCAAGGAGAGGGAGGATCCCCAATCCCACCCCTGCCACCTTCACCAATGCCCTTTGGTCGCACAGCCTCCTCCCCAGGGCAGTAGACCCTGCCCAAGTTCTGTCAGCCAGAAGACCCTTACCTGATCCTCATCTAAAACTGTCTGCAGTGGAACCGGCCAGTGGGTACAGTCAGTGGGCTGACCAATAGGCTTCCTGGTCTCACCCATTTACCTAGAACCACATCACAGAAATCTTCTAGTGCCTCAAAACTGCCTGCTTGCTCTCTGAGACAGAGAGCTGCTGTGTTATAAGCACAATACTGATTCTCTTCTGCCTGCTGGAACTCTCTGGTCCCCACCAAGTGAGTGGTCCTTCTTTTGCCAACCCTGACCCTTCATCCTTTCCTGCGACAAGGAGGCTTCCCTTCCTGCAACTGTCTCCCCTTGTTGGAAAGCCTGCCCCATTCCAACTGGCTGCCCTGGCCCCTCTGGGGAGAGGGGGAAGCTTTGTTCCCTTCCAGCCTAGCTGTTTCACCCTCCAGTTCTTTGAGGCTTTAGCTATCGGAGTGCAGGAACTTTAGGGGAGTCCTCCTGGTCACCTGTTTATCTCTCCCACTGCCTCCAGGCCTCTAGGTTTCAACTCTGACCACCACTCAGGCCTGCCTTCCCTACCCCTGCTCTGTTCCCAGGCAATGCCTGCTGTGGTCAGAAAGAGCCAGGGTGGGGAGGGTCACTGTGATGCCCAGGATCTCAGGGGCTCACCATTCCCCTCATTCAAGGCTCTGCTTGTCCCCCACCATGAACCTCAGGCAGGACAGAGGCAGAAACATAAAGAGAGGATAAGGCTCTGCTTGTCCCCAGTAAGGAAGACCTTCCTGAGGTTGGCTGTCCCACACTCACCTGTTCCTCTTTCCCCATTTCTGCCCACTCTCTGGGCTCCCTCTCTACTCAGAGTGAATCCTCTCCCTGCCTTCACTTTCCCAGCCATGTATCTTCTCCTGTGCCCTCTAGTTCCATTACTCTCCCCTGGCTGCCCTTTCTCATACCATTGCATCAGAGGGACAAACACCCATTGGCAAATAGAAATAAACAATGGTACTGATCCACGCTACTGATTCAAGGGCTAACTGAGCCTCTCCCCAGCTCTTTGGCCCTTCCCTGCAGGGGGTGCTGTAGCATCAGGCAGAACCATGCCTGCCCTCTGCTTTGTGAGGGGGTCCCCAGTGCTAACCTGTCACAGCCCCATCAGAGAGGTGGAAAGGGTGTGGTTGCCACTGGAGAGCTAACAATGAACACATCAGCACTTGACACCACCACCCCCATATCAGTGGAACAGACTTAAGAGACTCCCCCATTCCCAGGGACAGGGCTCCTCCCTCTTCTGGGGCTGAGAGGAATCAGCTCCAGAATGTTTGGTGAAGGTATAACACTAACACTAGACTGTCACCAGTCAGATTCCAGCAACAATGTCCCAAAGGAAGATTTTACATTCTCCTATGGAAGTCTTAAAAAGGTAGGGTGAGGGGAACTCATGTGTCTTGGGAATTTTTAATCTAACCAAGTCCAAAAACTACAAAGAAATCACTGGACTGCTTTCTCTTAGATATTTCAACAATTCCAAACCTCTCTCCTCTTCTCCCTAAAGCTCACCTTCCAGGCTTACCAGGATGAGGTCCGATGAATCACAAGGGACAGAGGTTGGGGGTTCTGACCACGGTCCTCAGCATGCCCACTGGGGAAGTGTCCCTGGGACCTTGAGGCTGAGAGGCAAGGACTGACTTCCCCTGCTCTCCTCTCCACAAACATAAACCTTCTAAAGGGCTGGTCCCCGTGGGTTTATGAACAATTGTTCCAGCAGGTAAGACGGAGGGATGCAGGAAAAAGGAGGCTGATCTACATAAAGAAAGCAGATGTGCACGCCTAGAAGCAAAGTGTGTCTCACACACAGCTGGGCCCCTCAGCCCAGAATCCTTAGACTCTTTACTCTTTGGCAAGTTTCCCTGAAGACTGTTGTGGGGAAGGGAAAAAACAGGTGATGAGTAGGTGAGAATCCCTGCCTCAAGTGTTTATGCTATACACACTAAACTAGAACTCTGTCTCATCCTACCAAATCATCTTCTGGAGCCTAGGTTCTCCAGCTGTCAGGGGATTCTTTTCCTGGGCTTCCTGCCCTCAACCTTCTCCCTGACAAGGTGTGTTTCTGTCTGTCTCAGGGTTTGTTTGATAGGTTGATTTCAAAATAGTTTTTATTCCAGGTCTTACTACTGTCAGATTTAAATTCTCTTTCGTCAGTTGAATCATCAGATGAAATCAGAAAATTCAGCTCAGATGCTTATTCTTTGTAAGGGATTTCTGCTTTATCCTGAGGCCTAGAATGAAGAAAAGGAAAGGGGAAGGATTGGGAGAAGCAAGAGAGAAAGGCATAGAGACACACACTGCAAACTTGCTCCAATCCACATCCTGAAACAGTGTCTCAAATGGGTATAGTAGTCACACTTAGTCACAGTTTTGTATTACCCTGTTTCAGTTATCTCCAGGCAGCCCAAAACTAATATTTGTCCTGCCTAAAAAGAGAGAGCCTATTTACATAACTTTTATTACAGTATCTTGCTATGATTGTCCTATTTTATTGTTCAAGTTGGTCACCTCTTCTTGTGTTTAATGTACAAACTACACTTCACCACAGGTATGTATGTGTAAGAAAAAAAATATAATGTGTATGGGATTCAGTTCTACCCACGTTTTCAGTATCCACTAGGTGTCTTGGAATATATCAATGCATAGTAAAGGGGGAGCCACAATAAGACGGGACCCCATTTACTCAGCGGTTTCATCTATCTCTACATATAAGCAAAACAATACTGCCAGACAGGTTCATTGAAGAGAGTGTTCTAGTTCTAGAACCAGATGCCACAGCTTCCAGCCCAACCATGCTGTTGGCCTGTGCCCTACACAGAGGGCCATTCTCCCTCAGAAAAAGCATGTGCCCTTAGCAAAGGAATCCTAAAGGCCAAGTTTCCTCTGCTCATTCTGTCCTCTGTGTCTTCATTGCTGTTTTAGGAATGGACTGGGTTCTACCCAGGTTTCTTCAGGCCTAAATGCTCTTCCAGAGGCTCCCTGTGTCCCTTGTGCCCTTCCTCTCTCACAGTGTTGCTTCAACAGTGGATTCCTGGATGCAAGCACTCAGGAGTCACAACGGCTTTGCAAGAATTCCTTAACCTCCTAAGTGGGCTCCTGCCCTTAGGGACACCCTTGGGTGATAGGTCTCAGTCCCTTGGAAAGTTCCCCCTCCTCCAGGATAAAGTTCCTCCCCCCTCTTTTTACTTTCTTCCTCTGTAACCTCAGTCTCCAATACCAGTTCCAGCTTCTATTCACATCTGTTTCCTTGTCTACTTTCCTTCATACCAAATCTGTTTTCCTTGGCCCTACTATAGTCTCTAGTTTTCAGAATTAGAGCTCTGGGGGGAAAACTGTGGAAGAACTAGACATGTTTCAAGTCCTCTGTTTGCCTCTCTGGTTTATCTTTCACTTCCTACCCCTGTGCAATGATATTGTGGGGCATGAAGCCAAGGACTCTCCCTCACTGGTCCTTGGGAGGAGGAGGAGAGGCTGCTGGACCAGTGGTGTTACAGTCAAGAGATCAGCTTTGCTTCCTACACCTGTAAAACCCATGAAGCTCCTGACCCAGCCTGCTGCTAGCCCAGACACTCCTGCTCCAGCTAAATTGTCATCCCTCTGAGGACTCTCAGCCACCCACTCTCCCTTCCTGCAAGTGTACCTCACATTACTCCTTCATTGGAGAAGATTTGAAGGCCTCAGGACTCTCCAAGCATGGAAGAATATCTGTCCCAATGTCCCTGCCACCAAACTCAATTCATCTCCTTCAGAGACACCTTATCCAGCACCAGCCCCCTACCCTTATTCCTTCCATAGGCACCTGTGGACTTGACACAAGGCAACAGTTTGAAAGGGCTGCCCATCACATGGACCCAAAAGGCACCTGCTCTGAGAAGAGCTGGCTCACTATCTTCTCTCTGCCACATGTATTATTCTGTCATCCTTTCTGAATCTAGGGACCTTTGCTCATGAGTATTTTCAAGGAAGTCTTTTGTGCTTTGATGAAGTATTTTGGGGAGTTAAATGTTATTTTTTTATGAAATGCAGCATTTTAATTGCAAATTCAATAGGAAAGGTCAGCCTTCCTGGGCTCTATATTTGATTTTGGAAGGTAGCATACTCAAGGAGAAAAAGGTACAGGGTTGAGGCTCTGGAGATGTTGCTTCCAGCCCTGGCTTTGTCTCCATCTTACTACATGAACAAGAGGATTTACATTCCTTCTCAGTACCTCAGTTTGCCCATTTGTAAAATGAGGGACTTCAATTAGTTGAGATTCCAAGTTACAACCCACTCTCACATTCTAGGACTTTCATTCCCCATCTGCACCCTTTTCTTTTTCCATGTCTCTTTCCACATGTTGTCTATGCCTGACCCTACAATGACATCCACAGATGCCCCCAAATAGCCAGCAGACTCCTCGCCAGAGCCCGGGGGTGACCTGAGAGTCTTGGCCACCCATGGATGCTCTCATATCTGAAGATTAAGGGCCTGATCATTCAGCAAGACACCAACCATGTGTCACAAAGCCTCTCTTACAGATACCTGTAAGCCACCCAGGTGTCTGTGTCACTAGAAGATTCTGAGTGTGGAATTTTCATTTTTGATGTGGTTCTTACAGCTGGAGGGAAGCAGTTCCAATTTCAGAGAGGGGATGGACTGCAAAAG